GTGAATATAAGCAATTCTTGACTACTTCCTGTTTGGCCGGAAGTGACGTCATTCAACGCATTTTGATGGTCTCACCAGCTGCTACTTGTCATGTTGAACAACTTTGCTTCTTTGAAGTATTACAAATTCTCAATACTTTTTGAGATATCAGGAAAAAAATTTTGGCCCCTCTAGATCCCTTATTTTAAGGGCCAGCCCCATTTCCTAGATATCATTTAAAAGATCTTTTAATTCTGTACAAATTTTGTTTTATATGTTTTAACAAAATATTTCCAAGTAAAAAGATATCGTAAAGAAAGTGTTAGAAATTTTGAAACTCTCGATATGACTTTTTACGGGCCATACCGAGCGTCGACGTGCGGCACTTCCAGTGAACGTTAACTACGTATTACAGATCTATATATGTTGCTCTATCTTCGCTAAATGTTTCACGTTCCTGTGATGAGTGGCTTATTAGAAAACCTGCGGACAAACTGACCCTCCAAAAAGCACTAAATCGCAAAAATCTTCGGACCGGAAGTGACGTCATCAAAATAAAAAAATATGTATCAAGATTTTTTAATGTTCTATCAGACCTGAAAGTTTCATGAAAATCGAGCAAACCGTTTCCGAGAAATCGCGTGCACAAAATCGGTAAGAAAAAAAATAATAAGAAAAACAGTGGAAAAGAAACCGAAGAATAACAAGAAGGTCTTCCGCTGAAGACGGAAGACCTTAACTAGAGCAAAGCTCGTTGCAAAGCAACGAGTAGGTCTTCCGTCCAAGTTTCAGAAGCACTGCTTGTAAGATGGATAAATGGAAGTAAAGTATACTTAAAAAGAAGGCTTCCAGACCAAAAATGATGTTTTCTGTATTTGGTTTTTTATGCTGATTTTCGTTAAATAAAGCAAATCAAGACTACTTCCGGTTTGACAGGAAGTGACTCCCAATCGACAAAAAATTGGGTCAAAAGTCTTGGTTGAATTCAATCATTTAATTTTTGTTGATATCTGCAGAAATACATCATTTATAGTCACTTCCGGTTTAACCGGAAGTGACAAAAGAGACGATACTCTACAGGAAATACAATCAGACGTCCTCTGTGACATGCATAATTCAATTCAATACAGTGCTCTATCCTATAAGTTGACAATCCTATCCTAGCTATCCTATCGTGAATCCTGCATCCACAATCCTATCCTGTCATTTCAGTCTAATCCTATCCTATCCTACATTGTATCCTGCTGCTCTCAGTTTTTTTTTTAATATTTAGGAGTTAATTTGACAAAACGAAAAAAAAATTATAAAATGACCATCAAATAAAAATCAGTTATAGTTATGTAATTAATTTAGATATAATAAATTTTAATGGAGAAAAAAATAATCGAGATCGACTTCCATTAATTTCTGAAACCCCACATGAATTAATTTGCGAGTAAAGATAAAATGTAAACAAAAGAATTGTAATAAAATGTAGGCAAGTATTGATCTAGCGAACATGTGAAGAAATTGGAACTTCGGAAGAATTGAAGAAAAAAATATAGTAAAATTTTATTTGTGTTTAATTTTACATACTAACAATGATCGTCGCTCGCGTGGCGCAGTGGTTAGAGCATCTGCTCGAGAGTCGCGAAGTAAGGAGTTGATCCTTACGTCGCGGGTTCAAATCCCGCTGTGGGACGTGGAGACCGGTCCTTCGGATGAGATCGTATAAACCGAGGTCCCGTGTCGCAGTAGGTGCTGGCACGAAAAAGATCCCTCACTGCTCAATGGCCGTATGTGCCAAGTATAGGACAAAATTTGCAAATCTCCACCGGCAAGTGGTGGCGTCTCCATATGAGTGAAAAAATCTCGAGAGGGACGTTAAACAACATACAAACAAACAAACAAAACTAACAATGATCGGGAGACGTCAAGGTATTTGTGATTTCTTTCGAATTTGTTCTCTACGAAAAATAAATGGAGTTAAAATTAGAGAGAGAAAAATGGGGAAACAATAAAGATTGCAGATACTTTTCTAATGTTATGATAAAGTAGACAAAAGGAACAAAATTTTTAAACTCTTTATAAGAATCAGTCCACGAATACCAAATCCTTCATGCGGGATAGGTACACTGAATTATAACCGTACTCATTGAAGAAACAATTTCTCTATCATGTCTACACATACTAAATAATGACAAAAATAGGATATGTTTGATGTTTTAACAAGTGTATGTTTCATCTGTTCATGTAAAATTTATGCAAAACTTTGTTTTCCCCATAACTAGGCATCACGAAAATAACATATAGATCTAACTGCACCTATATCAGCTGTATATTAGATAGTGTTGTACCGATAATCAGAAAACATCGATTGTCGACGAAAAAATGTTACCGATTCCGATGATCGATTATAATTTTTCATAATCGATCATCGGAAACATACTTCTAATACAATACATTCCGGAATTCTCCATTTCTGGTTTAAAATTTATTTCTCCTTAATGAAAGAAAATGGCGTCTGCATCTGATACTAGCCAACTAGCACGAAGCAGAGGTGATTAAGAACCAAATGGTGCATATATAGGGTCTAAAAAAATTATGTTTGTTTACTGTAACCCGACCGACCCATTCAGTTTACCCCCAGGTGGATTTTTTTTCTGCCAAATCTGTATTTGCTCTTTGGTTTGATCAATCAGCTGAATCTTTTCATTCAAAAAATATTAATTGTATCTTTCATTTGAGATATAAAATATGCAACTTAGTCAACATTTACCTTCGATATAAAGAGTAATCGATTCCCCCCACAACTTTTTGAAGTTCCTTTTCTGCCGCTAGGCAGCCATGGTGATTGTCCATTGTAAATATAACACCTGGATAATTCAGTCCCGGTGTCATATAATATATTGAACCCCACGATATTTTGAACCCAGGTTCAAAATATCGCTGCGAAATATTGAACCCCCCTATAAAATATTGATCCCGGGGTTCAAAATATTATGGCCATAATATTTTGAACCCAGGGTTCAATATATTGTAGTTTTATGGCCATAATATTTTGAACCCGGGGTTCAATATATTATAGCCTTAGGGCCATAATATTTTGAACCCTGGGTTCAGTATATTATAGCCTTGTGGCCATAATATTTTGAACCCCATTACAGACATTCTCTGTTTAAAGCGTAGAGGTTCATAAGATTATGGCCTTGAAATGTTGTACTTCCTAATTTAATTTTTTTTTTTTTGGTAGAGTTGGGTGGAGGTTTAAGATAGGATTTATGGCTGTAAAATGTTGTACCCCCTACTAGACATATATGTGTTTAGGATGTTGTTTAAAAATTATTGACCTAAAAATAATTTTTGAATGGTAAGAGGGGGTTCAAGATATGACAGTGAAATGTTCAACCCCACAACATTTTATAAAGGATAGAAAATATTTAGCTGAGAAGTATTGAACCTCCATTTAAAGACTACTTTGGAAAGTGAAAGTATCTAACACCCATCTCACACACACTAACTTTGATTTAATTGTTAGATCTCAAGGGTTGGGTATCTTTATATTAAAAATTGTATTTTTTTTTAATCTGTGCAATACCTAAAGAAATGAGAGTAAAATAATGTAATCAAAATTTTGAAGTCTGAAATTGCCATCAATATTTTATGGTCATAATATCTTGATCCCCCTCCCTCTTAGATTAAAAGTGTAGGGGGACTCAATATTTTATGGTCATAATATCTTGAACACCCTCCCTCTTAGATTAAAAGGATAGGGGGACTCAATATTTTATGGTCATAATATCTTGAACCCCCTCCCTCTTAGATTAAAAGGATAGGGGGACTCAATATTTTATGGTCATAATATCTTGAACCCCATCCCTCTTAAATTTAAGGGTACGGGGACTCAATATTTTTTGGTCATAATACCTTGAACCCCTCCCTCTTAAATTTAAGGGAAAGGGAACTCAATATTTTATGAACATAATATCTTGAACCCCCTCCCTCTTAAATTAAAAGAGTAGGGGACTCAATATATTATAACCATAATATGCTGAACCCACCGGGTTCAATATTTTATAAGGGGGTTCGTTATATCGCAGCAAAAAATTAACCCGGGTTCAAAATATTATGCGATATATTGAACCCGGGTTTATTATATCATGGCATCAAAATATTATGCTACACCGGGATGTTTGACTCCATTATTCATAAGCAAAAAAAAAAAAAAAAAAAAAAATTCCCGACCTACCGACCCTTGATTTTTTGGGAATGTTACAGGAAACAATCAAACATAATTTTTTTGTATACAAAACTATGAAATTCGATTATAATCATTAAAATCCTTCAGAAGCAGTAACCGATTCCAACCGATGATCGATTAAGAAAATTAACCGATGTCCCATCACTAATATTAGATTTTACTTTTGGCGTAAATCTAAATAAGAACTTCAAGATATGACAAGACCATAAACCGAGAACAGACAAGTCAAAATTTAGATCTAGAATATGTTGACTTTCATTCATCAAATAAGTTAAAATTGTCTTATTATATTCAATTTTAAATGTATGATAAAAATTTGTTTTATATTTATTATTAAAGTTATTCCTGCTTGAAATGTTCAGTTCATCATTTGTTTGTATGTGAATATTTTACAAACATGCAACATTTTCATCATGTTTGCTAAATAAAAATCCAGATATTCAAAATGTTAAAATTTCTTATTTCGCTTCAGTGTTCTCAATTTATGGTCAGTTCAGTGCCGTACAAGTGTATCTTAATTAAAAAAAATATTTGTGTGAGAATTTAATCAATTAATGTTTACAGAAAACATTTTCCTAAATCTTCATAGTCAGACAGGTTGACAGCAATAATTATTGTAGTCAGCTCACACATATTCCTTAGATCTTATAAAACATGCATAAGAATCCACAGTTGTTACAGTATTTTTAACCCAAATTTAAGTAAATCTTGTATTTTATCTTGACATTTGATCTTGAATGTTATTCAGTGTCTAAATGAGGAATAAAAATAATTGACCAAGTTCACAATATTTATTCAGGGTAATTCCTTTTTTCAGTGAATATAAATATAATTATATATATTGGACCAAATGCATATTATCTACAATTTATATCTACAATGTATAACAATTGAATGTTCCATTATCATGAGACAAATTCATTAAAAGTGTCCATGTAAAGTATACATGTATTTCAATGCCAAGCTCAAAGATACATGTACATGTAGTTTGTTTAAATTGAAGTTTATCAATGTCTTATTACAATTGTATGTTTTACATGCATATTATTTGGCCTGCTTGTCCGTCGCTCAAATTGAATTTCAAATGTCAAAGTAGTTGTCAGAGAGATGGTCATAAAGTAACCGAACAGTTTCACAAATGTCATCAATGCACAGAAAACAAATACATCACACACTGATCTCCTTAATAAAGAACACCATCATTCCAGACTCTAGGAGGCTCTTGGACACTGGTTTGAAAATCTTTCATTATTTATTCCAGCAGCAGATGAGATGAAGTGCAATTTGTACAGTTGCAAATTTGCAGGATTGTCCTGAAGCAAAAAACACACACCATTCTGTGCATGTAGATTGTAAATTTTGTCATATACATTATGCATTAAAACTGTATTTGATTGTGATTATCTTTCTCATTTCATGTACAATTGTCTGAATTTCACATTTTTCTCTCCCAGAGTAATGCATTAATTTTAAAGAAATCAAGCAAAATCAAATCTTATATTGCAACTTCATAGTCATAACTCATATCTTAATTAAACAATCATAATTTACATAATTTACTCGTAGATTATAATTCATTTCATCTCGTCGTCTTGCTAACTAGTATGATTATATGTTTGGATGTTTTTTTCTCTCTCTATTTTTTGCTTGTATTAATCTATTTAATATCTTGTTAATTAATTTCTTTTCATTTTTTGCTTGAAATTTGAATATTAAAAAAAATGAAAATACATATAACATGACCATGATGACCAGAACAATTATACATTAATTTCAGTTTTACTCTCAACATTTTAAAAAGAAGAAAATCACTTATTCATAAAATCTGCAGACACTTCATCCCAACTTAGATAATGATTTTGATGTATTTTAATGAAACATGCATAAACACAAAATAAATAATCTAATCATACGTACTTCTAAATGTAAAATCTTTTATATTGTGATGACTAATGAGGGCAGGCAAAATTGGGTACCATTCTCTGAAATGAAGAAGATAATAAATGATTAATTTATGTTACACATTTTATGTTTAACTCACAATAGGTCATACATACAATGTACATGCAAGTGCTGAGTGGGCTTATTATACAAAGTAGCATAAGAAATGATGATGATGATTCTGCATTTAATTATTTTAAATTGCAATCAGATAAGAAAAAATATTTTTTAACCACAGTAGGGAAATGAGTATATAGCAATAACAAACTGAAAAAGGTATAATACATCTGATCATGTGACAAAGTATTTGTAAATATTTAACCCCCTACCCCTCCCCTTTCTACACAACCTCTTTTTTCCACATCCGATTTCTGTGTATATTACAATAGAGTAAATTTTTAATAGTTCAAGTCATTAAAACATTGCTTAAAGGGAGAGATATGTATAAACATGCACACATTTACAGTGTTTAGTATACTTACATGGTCTTGCACCAAACAACTGCGATTATGATCTGTTATAGTCCACCGCTGACGGTTCAAGTGGAATTATCCAGACAAACAGAGCACATTTAACAGAGAAACATGTTATTGAACTGTAACACAAGTAGGAATTGAGTTAATCATCCAAACATGCTGAAGAAATACGATCTTTTGATGTTCGATCTCTTCTTTGTTTATATGCGAAACTTCTTCCGGTGATCGTTCACGGTTAGATCGTACGCCATATTACTCGAAGGTAATAGAATAAATGTGTGTTAAGAAAAAAACGTCTACTTTCTTTTGTGATTTTATAAATAATTCTTTTGTAAACGTTCTATATCCTTTTGCGTTTCTGTAATTTATTCTGACATATGAATTAACCTTTACTCGAATCTGATTGGCTGTAGGATACAGGATAGGATAGGATAGGATTGGATTAACTACTATATGTTTCTATCGTGAATCCTCAATCCTGAATCATATCCAATCCCATCCCATGTCAACTTGTGGGATAGCAGCACTGTACCAATATCTGTGAAAATAAGCAATTTTCTACTACTTCCTGTTTGGCCGGAAGTGACGTCATTCGACGCATTTTGATGATCTCGCAAGCTGCTACTTGTCATGTTGAACAACTTTGCTTTTTGAAGTATTACAAATTCTCAATACTTTTTGAGATATCAGGAAAAATATTTTGGCCCCTTTAGATTCTTTATTTTAGGGGCCAGGCCTTTTTTCGAGATATCATTTAAAAGATCTTGTAATTCTGCACAAATTTTGTTTTATATGTTTTAACAAAATATTTCCAAGTAAAAGGATATCGTACAGAAAGTGTTCGAAAATTTGAAACTCTCGATATGACTTTTTCAGGCCATAGCGAGCGTCGACGTGTGGCACTTCCGGTGAAAGTTAACCACGTATTACAGATCAACATATGTTGCTCTGTCTTCGCTAAAAGTTTCACGTTCCTGCGATGAGTGCTTTCTCAGAAAACCTGCGGACAAACTGACCCTCCAAAAATCACTAAATCGCAAAAATCTTCGGACCGGAAGTGACGTCATCAAAATAAAAAAATATGTATCAAGATTTTTTAATGTTCTATCAGACCTGAAAGTTTCATGAAAATCGAACGAACCGTTTTCGAGAAATCGCGTGCACAAAATCGGTAAGAAAAAAAATAAGAAGAAAAACAGTGGAAAAGAAACCGAAGAGTAACAAGAAGGTCTTCCGCTGAAGACGGAAGACCTTAATAATCTTAACCATCAGAATCAGTAGAAGGTCTTCCGCCTGGAGCGGAAGACCTTAATAATCTTAATCATCACAATCAGTAGAAGGTCTTCCGTTGGAAACGGAAGACCTAAATAAAGATTCTCAATATGGTATATGTACATTAATGCATTTCTAAAATTATTCACTAAAAGATAAAACTGCTATAATTTGTACAGGTTCAAAACTGGATAAAAATTGTTATTGTTAAATGTAATAAAAATTATGAAAAATATAAGCAAAGGGAAAAAAGAAGTCATTGTTACCATCCTAAGTTGGGTTTCTTTGAATTGATTACTGTCATGTACAAATTTAGAAAATTTTGTTTATTATGATAAAGTATGGGAAGTATTAGGATTTTACATATACATGTACATGGAAAGTTATATCTCTTATCAGATGATCACGCCCCTTAAATATCTCAAAATAAAGAAAACAATGCTGGTTTTGACATTTGAGGACAGAACAGTTCATTTTTCATGATACACATGTAATATCTTATATGAGTTATGTTTTGACTTTAATGCAAGACAAGTTATACTCAGTCTCAAAGTACATGATAGTTTTGAAATCTAAATTTTCTGGCAAAATATATTTCACCCTAAATTTCTGTGTTATTCCTTGTTAAGCATAAGTTCTGAAGATCCATTTTTAAAAATAAAAATCAAAATATCTAATGAAATGTAACCAAAATTAACATACAAAAATCATACAACCAAAAACGTGTATTTGTCAGGGAAAAAACAAATAAACAAATACAGTAAAACACAGAGAATTTCATAAATAAATCCAATCAAAGCCAGCAAACCAAGACTGGATTATTTATGTTACGATATAAGAGTGATTTGTATAAAGTTATAATATAATTAAAAGTAAAACATACCAACACACTTTCCATTGGCCATGGCAAAACCAGGAATGCAAATACAAGAAAAAGAGCCATTGGTGTTTGAACACTTGGCATTGGTCGGACATACTGTTTCAGTACTATTACATTCATCTATATCAATGGAGCAGTTTGCTCCTTCCCAGCCTTTTTTACAAGTACAGCTTCCGTTGACTTTGTTACATGAGAGAGTGTTCTGGACGTCGCAGGTGCAATCTGAGGTACATCCAGGACCATATTTTTGAGAGTCACAGTCTGAAAAGATTGTTTATTATAAAATACATTGCTACAATTCACAATATTTACAAAGTGAAATATATTTAAGATTCTTCCTTGTTTTTTTTTATCCCTGTTCAACTTCTGCGTATCTTACCTATACATGTTCTATTATCTACATCCAGCCTCTTTCCATCAGCGCAAGAACACGTGTATCCGGCACCAGCTACGGCATTCTGGGTACAGTTTTCACTGCATGGATTCGAGGAACATTCGTCAATGTCTACGAAAAAAAATCCCTGTAGAAACTAGTAGTTCTGCCAGTTTTTCGTTAACATTTTAGTCTAAACATTTTATTTATATTTCATTATCATAATACACAAGTTTGTCTAATGGTATTTAAAGTTGCTTTTATCATTCACTAACTTTATTCACTTTCACATGTATACAAAAAAACATAGAATCAAATGTTACAAAATTCATATCAATGGAAATTCTATAAAATGTTATATATTGGCCTACAACGGCATATAAAGATATTTGACATTTTAATTACCAGTGCAATTGAAACCGTCATCATTCAAACTGAATCCAGGATCACAGAAGCAATATTCTGATCTATCCAAGTTAACTCCACACTTCTGAGTGCAGTTAAATGTAGTGTTCTCACACCGCGTTCTTGCTTCAGAAGAATAAGAATAATAAAATGATTATGCTAGTTGAGCCATTTAAAAATACTTGTAATCAAACTGGACATGGTCATAGAAATGATAAAAATAAGTTAAATATGTATTTACTTTCACATGTGGTCCTTGTTGTCGTATTAAGAGAGAATCCTGGATTACACGAGCATCTGAAGCTTCCCTGTGTATTGGTACATATTTGATCACATGGACTTGTAGGAGCAGAGCATTCGTCAATATCCTCACACTGTGACGTAGCTACCAATCTAAATCCAGGATTACAGCCACAGGAGTAACTTCCCAGAGTGTTCGTGCAGAGCTGACTGCATGGATTACTTTTGCATTCGTCGACATCTAAAACAAATTGCACTTACCTATATATGTACATCAATATTATTTATTTTGTTTTTAAGTAATTGAGGAATTTGTCATTCCTTTTAACAACTCTTATTTTTCTGCAATGAACAAAAGCTTTACACATCTATAAGTAAGATTATATAAAAATGGAGAGAGAGAAAAAAAGGAAATTGAAATGATTTTTAAAAAACCTAAGCATTCATCTGACGTTGTATTCTTTTCATATCCAACAGCACAAACACACTGATATGATCCTGGAGTATTCTTGCATTCTTGATTTGCTTTAGTGCAAGGACTTCCGGCGGAGCATTCGTCTTTATCAATGTCACACTTTTCTCCAGTCCATCCACCGTCACATATACAACCTTTGACGTTATCACAGCTAGAGAAACCGACTCCACAGTTACACGGCGTTTTACAGTCTTCTCCATATGTAAACCCATTACATTCTACAATTACAGTGAGTGGTTATTAAAAGTATACATTACTAATACATGCAACTTCTTAATTTGGTTTCCAAAGTACGAATGTAAGCCCCTTAACATAAGAAAAGTTGTTATCGCATTCAATTACTAGTAATCGACTACTTCACATACCATTGTTGATTATATTTAATCATAATAACGACTCTCCTCTTGTATGTTTTTCATTACCTTTACATGTTCTTCCATCATTTTCTAATGTGTACCCTGTTGGACATGAGCAGTTGTAGGAACCACCAGTATTAACACATTTTTCTTTGAAGTTGCAATTATTCAAAGTGACATCATTACACTCGTCAACATCTAAAAATGACATTTCATTATCAATAAATAGTTCAGACTTTCCACTGAATTAGACTAAATTTGAACTAAAGTTCATACAAAGAAAAAGAATCATGATTTAGAATCATTCCATTTCTGTAGTTCTATCAAAAACTGAAAACATGAAAAGGGGGACCGTAAAGGACACTTCCTTCAAGAGAAACTCTTTCTCTGAACATATGTGATTGATTGATTGACTCTATGTTGTTTTAATCATATTCGAGAAATTTTTCACTCAAATAGAGACGTCACCAAATAACGGTGAAGGGCTTCAAAGCATGACTGCTTTTAAGGACATGCGAAATTTACGACAAATAAACTTTCAAAAGACGCAATTTTCTTTTCATTGCAAGAATGGTCAACATCCAATTTAAAACTTTATATAATTACATTAAATTAAAGTGTGTATTTACGAAGTTCGACTCTGTTTTCAAAGACAGGGGTCATCACAATTTCTTGATTTTCCGTTCGATAATGAGGACGCCCTCTTTTTTTCACTGACTTCATCCATAGTCAGCGCATGTTTGTTTATTGTTCTCCGTTTCACAATAGTTGTATATTTGCATTAATAATGATGTTTCAAAAGGAGATTATAGACAAAGATGCGTTCATGGTTTAAAAGAGAAAAAAACTGCTCTTTCTTTTGTTTGTTTGTATGTTGTTTAACGTCCCTCTCGAGATTTTTTCACTCATATGGAGACGCCACCACTTGCCGATTGAGAGCTGCAAATTTTGTCCTATGCTCGGCACTTACGACCATTGAGCAGTGAGGGATCTTTATCTTGCCAGCACCTACTGCGATACGGGACCTCGGTTTATACGGTCTCATCCGAAAGACCGGTCTCCACGTCCCGCAGTGGTATTCGGACCCGCGACGTAAGGATCAACTCCTTACTTCGCGACTCTAGAGCAGACGCTCTAACCACTGCGCCACGCGGGCGACAACTGCTTCTTCTTACATTCACTCTCTCTATTGTGACCAAGGGTTGTGACGTGTTATTATAATTTACCACGTGATTTCTCCCCGGTAACTTTGTGAATACTAAATTCCGCCTCATGTGACTTGTAATGTACATTTGTACATGTAGCATGTTTTATGCTTAACTAGGACTTTGTGTTTGAACACGTTAAATTGTCTGGCATTGATTTTAAATCTTCTTTAATTACATAGAAGTGCTCACATTGTTAATTTCGTTTTTGAAACCTTTGTCAGTAGTTGTGCCAAAGAGAATCGGCGGGGGGGGGGGGGGGGGGGGGGGTGATGGAGTCTAAATTAAGAATGGTAAAACTCGAGTGTCATCACTGTGTTTTAAGCTCAATCTATCGTTCATTGTAATTTCAATATTGAGCTGAATAATACAACAAATTTAAGGAATCGGTAGAACCAATGAGTACCCAGTTAAAAACATTACATTGTGGAATTGTTTTCTTGCAATCGTATATCTGCTTGGGCCTTTTCGGCATGCTGGGAAAAAAAACTTTACATCTTTGGATGTTGAAAATTTGTACAAAATAGGGTCGTTTCCTTATTGGCTAGACGTGTTTCTTCTGTAATATGTTTTAGGTTACTGTATATCATACGTTGCATTCAATGAAGTTTAGCTCCAGACTCTAAAGATTAGACCCCAAGCTAGGTTTTAATTATCAATTTGGATTTTTTTTTACATGTTAGAGGACAAAACACGAAATTTGAGATACTATTTAATTTCAGATGATAATTTGAAACTGACAAAGTATTTTCCCAGTATGACCCTATCGTGAATTCTAGCGTATTTCAGTAATAAAGACTTACATAGTTGCTAGCGCTCGAGAGGGCTAGCAAAAACATTCGCCTCATACGAAAACACTTAATACGTAAACCTGTGGTTATCAATAATTGAGTGAGTTCTTAAGTAAAACAGATTCTCCTAAAGTAATTGAAACCTCTACAGTATTTCCATACCAATCAAAGTCAGAAAGTCTTAATTTAAAAGTGAATGATAGATTTTTCTACTCTGAAATTCAAATCGATGCATACAAGTATCGTTCTTAAGTATTTAATTGCGGTATTTTTTTTAATTGAATTTAGCAATTTTACTCATAAACTTAAACCAATCCTTCTCACTATATTGTTAAGTAACTTCGCAAATATTTTTCTACTCTTATATGTAGTTTAGGACAGAGTACTCTGCTTTAAAAAGCACAGAATAAGAAGTATTTTTATACAATGTATAGAGGGTTCCTGAAGCTTAAAGGTCAAGGGTCAAATGACCACTATGTAGTGTTTTACAAGCAGGCGAAAAAAGTGTGTATCCTGAGCGTTTTTTTTTTTTTGTTTTTGTTTTTTTTTTTTTGCGAGATTTGAAGATTGAAAAGATGTGGAATTGATTTTTAACATCCTAATGGACCTAGGGATGATAAGGATGTAAATAGTACAAAGGAGGTTTGTGTTTTGATCTCTCGTTTTTATTAAACAGAAAGAACAAAGGAATGCGTCCTCCATTTTGAAGTCATTTTGAATTCCTATGGCTCGCTCACTAGCTGGTTAAATAACTCAGTTGTGATTAGAATGATTTGAGTTCTCTTACATGTACATCATTTAAAAACTTTCCTACAACCTGTGATTTCTTCAATTTATGTTTCAAAATTTAAAAATTACAAAATGCCTAAACTGGGTAAAAAATCACAACGTGGAGGTCAAGGACAGCCCGAAAGTGCTAAACCTCTTTCTAAAAGAGTAAGGGAGAATAGTCGTGAATATGAAGACTTTGATGACGATGCTGAATCAAAAGTTGATACATTAGCGGGTGTTTTAAATAAACCAGAAATAATGTCAAAATTTGTTGAATGCATCTGCTCTTCAAAAGTACTAGTAAAATCACGTGTCAGTCATTTCCTTCCTAGTCTAACAGGAACATTACAAAGTGTACTTGACCCTCTAAGAATATCTATTGATAATCTTACTAACCAGCTGTTTCACTTGGTGGGTAAATGATGCAATGTGCATATAAAATCCCAGGCACGTTGACAAGAACTACAGCCATAAACGATAATCAAAACTACGATTTCATTAGCCAAAACGAATACATACATAATTGTACAAATACGATCCATATTAACAAAACGAATAAACATAACATGTTACATCTTTTCTCCTTTGTAAAGTTTCTTTCATTGTACAGTACCAACCAGACCCAACCTGACACAAAGCAGTCCCAGAGCAGTCCCGGGGACTGCTTTCTCGGACTGCTAAAGCAGTCCCAGAGCGGTCCCAGAGCAGTCCCAGAGCGGTCCCAGAGCAGTCCCACAGCGGTCCCAGCAGTCCCAGCGGTCCCAGAAAGCAGTCCCAGCAGTCCCCGAAAGCAGTCCCAGCAGTCCCAGTGGGCGGGGTAAATTAATTTAATGGGCGGAGCTTACTCAGAATGAGATTACCAATAAACAATGCAACTATATAAAAGCAGTTGAAATTGATGAGCAATTCTTTCTGAGTAGTATCAATAAATATTTACAATTCTTACGCGACAGTCATTTCTGAACTGTTAAGAAAATCACAGTACGCGTATAGAAACAAATTATAATTATTGAATGAAGAAGACGTTCACACATATTAATAACATGAATATTTAAACACAATTATTTGGTATATTAATTTTTAACCAAAATAAACCAATTTCTTTATTTTTTTGATTGATATTGGTTTTCATATTTATTTTTTTATATAGAAAATTAAACTTGAATTGTTTATTTTATACCAGAATTAGCTTTAAATAGATAATAATAATTATAGAGCAAGGCCGATTCCCATACTATACTCTGAATGCATTTTTCTTAAGTATTGGAGCTTTTGAAAAATTCTTTGTTAAACATTGCCGAGTATTATATTTCAGTCATGATTATTTTCAATGACTTCTTAATTAAATTATCTTTAGATTCTCAGTTTTAAGTGTTTTATTATATAAATGTTCGAGTGTACATCTGTAAATCACGCAATTGGAACCCTTAGATTATGTTCAGAATTAATTAATCCCGAAATAAATTTATACACAATTATTGAAACTAAGATTTTTTGCAAGACATAGATTGAAATAAGGGTCAATGTTGACCAGCGTGTTCAATGATGTGTAACACTGATACCCAAATAACATGCATTGACTTTCTGCTAATTATGCCCAAAGGCGATTGAAAGCTCAGGTGTTGACACCATTTTATACAATCCAGCTGTATTAACCGGCCAGGTAAACACAAACAAAGAAATAAGAAACAAGTCACAATTTCCGATATTTTCAAATGTTAATTTATTTTTTAAATAAATGTACTCTTTTAATAACTTGTTTATAAATTAAAAACTAATTCATAAATAAATCCCCGAATAACTGTTCACATTGTTTATGTGACAGAAGAATGGTAGAATAATTTTATTTCATGGTCATTAAATAAATTATTATGTTTTATTTGAGGATGGTAAAAAATTGCATGGAGTGCTCTTTTTTAAGCATGGTATTAGCTTTTTCAATTAAGAAAAAAAATCCAGTACAGTACGTTCATCTGAATACATGTATCTTACTGAAATGACAAGTTTGTTTGTTTTTAAATAGTGCTAATGCAAACTTTGAGTATATATGTAATTTGAAAGCATTAATTTATTAAATAGGCCTAGAAAATTTTTTTTTCAAACACCTGTATTGAAGTTTAATTTAAGGGATAAAAATCATCCCCTGACTTCCCTTTTTAACTACTTTTATTTTCTTAAAATTAATTCTAGGCTACAATTGTGTAAATTTACAGCTGTCTTAAGACATTTAGTAATTACATGTATAACTATCTCTATTTATTTAATTTTTGTAAGAAATTAATACTTGTTTTTTTATATTTGTTTCTATCTTTAACACCTCTCTGCAGAAAGTAAACAAAACAACAAGGAGCTGCAAATTCAGAATACACAAGGGGCGGAGCTATCATGTCACTCAGAACCTTTTTCACGCATGAGTGAACAAAGCAGTCCC